AAGGGTTTAAGTTTGTGTGCTATTTTATATCACATCATTAATATAAACAAACGAGTGAGCATTTGACACCCAATGGAACTTAAGCAAATAAATAAATATAATGCATTACTTGGACCATTGGGTTTCAAAAGTAAATAGTTTTTCTATTTGGAGTGCATTGGGACTATTTTCGGCATTAATAAAACCAAATGAGAGTGCATGACCCATTGGAACTTCTCCAAATAAACACTTACAATACGCTACTAGGATCATAAGAATGAGCACTCAATAGATAAAAATCTTATTGCCTATCAAAAGTACATAGTTTTTCAATTTCGAGTGCATTTGGACTATGTTCGGCATTAATAAAAACAAACGAGCGTGCGTTTAACACCCATTGGAACTCAAGCAAATTAACAAATATAATGCGCTACTGGGTCCAACAGAATGAGTACTCAAAAGATCAAAAGCTTATTGGGTGTCAAAAATACATAGTTTTTCTATTTGGAGTGTGTTTGGACTATTTTCGGTATTAATAATAACAAACGTATATATAATGCACTACATTTGACACCCATTGGAACTTAAGAAAATAAATATATATAATGCGCTGCTTGGACCATAAGAATGAGTACTCAAAAGATCAAAAGCTTATATGGTTCCGGCATTAATAAAAACGAACGAGCTTGCGTTTGACACCCATTTGAATTTAAGCAAATAAACACATATGATGCATTACTAAGAACTTAAGAATGAGTACTCAGGGGATAAAAATCTTATTGGGTGCCAAAAGGACATAGTTTTTCTATTTAGAGTGAATCTGGACTATTTGCAGCATTAATAAAGCAAACAAGTGTGCATTTGATTCCCATTCAAACTTAAGCAAACAAACGCATATAATGCGCTACTAGGACCATAAGAATGAGAACTCAAAAGATCAAAATTTTATTGGGTGTCAAACGCACATGAGTGCATTTAGAATGTTTTAGGCATTAATAAAAACAAATGGGCATGCATTTGACAGCCATTGGAACTTAAGCAAATAAACAAATATAATGAGCTACTAGGACCATAAGAATGAGTACTCAAAAGATCAAAAGCTTATTGGACGTCGAAAGTACATAGTTTTTCTGTTTGGAGTGCATTAAGACTATTTTCGGCATTAATAAAAACAAACTAGCGTGCGTTTCACACCCACTGGAACTTAAGCAAACTAACACATATAATGTGCTACTAGGACCATAAAAATGTGTACTCAAATGATCATAAGCTTATTGGGTGTCAATAGTGCACAACTTTCTATTTGGAGTTCATTTGGACTGTTTTCGGCATTAATAAAACAAACAACCGTGCATTTGATACCCATTGGAACTTACCAAATAAACACATATAATGCACTACTTGGACCATAAGAATGAGTACGCAAAAGATCAAAAACTTATTGGGTGTGAAAAGTACAAAATTTTTTAGTTGGAGTGCATTTGAACTGTTTTCAGCATTAATAAAAACAAACGAGCGTGCATTTGTCACCCATTGGAAATTAGGCAAATCAACACATATAATGCGCTGCTTGGACCATAAGAATGAGTACTCAAAAAATCAAAAGCTTATTGGTTGTCAAAAGTACACATTTTTTTCTATTTAAAGTGCTTTTGGACTGTTTTTGACATTAATAAAAACAAACGAGTGTGTGTTTAACACTCATTGGCTGGTCATTTACCCAGAGATCAGTAAGCTCCTTAACTTGTTCTCTCTCAATCTATCTAATAACGACTTTGAAGGCAGCATTCCTGAGGAACTTCCAGCTGTCATGAAAGGGTTCAATGTTTCTTTCAATCATCTTTCGAGCGTCATACCTGAAAACTTGCGGCAGTTCCCTGATTCCGCATTTTATCCAGGGAACTCGTTGCTGATTTTTCCTCTTTCCCCATCATCACCGGAGGGTGTCCCAAACATGACTTTTAGTGTACACAGGCCTCTTATGAAAGCAGCTATTAGGATCTCCCTCATTGTAGGTTTGGTGTTGATGGAGCTGCTTTTTTAGCTCTTTCATGCCTGATGATCTATTACAATTCCCACTGGCACAGATGTAGAAAGGGCAGCTCGAAAGCAAGTTCTGGAAAGAAAGATGTCGTGCTAGGAGGTTCTGCCCTTTCTCATCAATCAGCATCGGACAAAAATGTAGACTGCTCAAAATCTTCTTGTGATTTCCTTCCAAAGCTTTCACCATCAACCGGCATAGGATCTGCTTATGATGCCCGTGATACTTCATCAGTTGTAAAGAATCCTAAGAATTTGGGTCATCCCGAATCAAAAGAAAAGGGTGAGGGACATCTTCTCCTATGTCTCTCTTATCATCATTAAATCCATCGCCCTCTAAAACGCAACAGCCACTTGAGAGTTCTGCTATGCTCACAGTTTATTCTCCAGATATATTGGCTGGTGATTTGCATCTGTTTTATGGCTCGTTGGCGTTCACAGAAGAACTTTCCTCTGCTCCAGCATAAGCTATTGGAAGGAGTTGTCATGGAACAATGTACAAAGCGACTCCGGTCAAGTATTGGCTGTCAAATGGCTACGGGAGGGAATAGCCAAAGGAAGGAAAGAATTTGCAAGTCAAGTGAAGAAACTATGCTGGGTTATTACTGGTGTTGGAGAACAATTTAGAAACAAAAATAATAGAAATACAGAACTCAAAATACTTATATTTTATTATTCAAATATACTTGCAATACAGAATGAAATTAAACAATAAATATATGAATTAAAATGATACTAACTTGAATGAATCAAAGGTAGAGGCTATCGCAAACGCTATATCCTTCGAACAGCATTTCTGTCCCACTCTTGTGCTTATGGTTCTACAACGTTTGCTTGACCAGGATACAACTACCTAATTCTACAACCCGCACTGGATTATAGAATTCTAGCGAATTGTTTTGTGTGTTTACTCTCTGGGAATTTGTATGAAAGAAAAAGAAGGAATAAAAGATGATTTTTAATGGAACTGAGGACTCAAATTATATAGGCTCTTTCATACCTCTTCAAATACCTTTTGAATGTATCTGAAGCTATACAACTCTTTCCAAAGAGTTGTGTCTATTAATCAAAACGTTTGTAATTAATTTTAATTAAAAACTTAATTTGAAATTAAAACTAATTGATCAGATTAGTTATAATTCTTAGGCCCCTGTCTTGATTAATCATCAAGCCTAATCCACACAATTAGCGGCCCAAACCTCAATCTCCATTCCAAATGGTCTAAATCCTAAGTGCTAGTTAAAAGGCTAGACCTATATAAAGGCCTTTGACAAATTGTTTTTTCCCGATGTGGGACAATAGGAGTCTCAAAACTCCTGCAACTGGGGCCCTAAAGAACATGAGAAACTGATTATATCAATTTACGTCAATGCACAATCGTTGGCATTCCATTTCCGTGATAAAACACTGAAAATTGTCCATGAAGAAAATAACGTAGATCTTAGCGTACCTAGTTTTTATTTGGCTGACATCGGTGAGTTTTACCTTGTGATATATTACTTTGGTTTATAGACTGCTAGGTTAGTTTCCTTAAATGAAGGCATTGTGTGGATTCTTTAGAGTTGTTTTCAAATGTCTTAAAGTCTTCAAACAATATTTATTATAGGTTTTCGAATTTCTCTCTCGTCATCCCTGCATCTGACATGAGGTTGCTGAATCTTTCTGACTCTACAGAGGCAGGGCCAAGAAAACTCTCTCCCCTGTCACTTGAGGAACGACTTAGGATCTCTGTAGACGTTGCCCGATGTCCCAACTTCCTGCATAATGAGAAGGCAATTCTCCATGGCAACCTCAAATCCACCAATATTTTATTTGAAACTCCTACTCTGAATGCACTTCTTCCAGATTGTAGTGTCCACCGAATTTTGACTCCGTCTAAGACTACTGAGCAAGCTTTGAATGCAGGTGTCTATGCATTTGGGGTGATATTGTTGAAGCTCCCGACTGGAAAGAGTTCCGGGGAGATTGTCTCTGGGATACCGGGTGTGGTTAATAAGACAGCCTTGGTGAGACAATTGGCGGAAGAAAACCGTTGTTTTGAATGCCTTGACAGATTGATTCTGGAAAGGCCAAGCGTAAACAACCCCCCAAGAGTTCTTGACGGTATGCTACAGGTCGCTCTAAGATGTATCCATCCAGCATCCGAAAGACCCGACATTAAAACTGTGTTCCAAGACACTGCAAAAATAGTGAATTAAAGGAGCACAAAGTAGGATAAATGCTTGAACTATAGAGTTCTTGATACTAACACCATAAGTCACTTTTCTTGCTCTCTTTATTTTCTAATGGTTTTTTTGTCGAAATGGTCCTGTAATTGACAAACCGTAGTTATAGTTTAGAGAAAAATAAGTTCGTTGTTGATATGTTCTATGCATAAAGTTTCATAAATCCTACACTAGGGCAAACTCTTGGTGCAACCGGTGATTTATTCCCAGCTTTCTCTCACATTGATTCCAGTATGTTGCAAGGACAGATTCGAGTACGAGAATCATATCGTGGAGTAGAACGGATGCTACCCGGTAATAGTTTGGAGAAACCTAAGTATGGTGTTCGGCATTCGTCTCTAGCTGTGGCGAAATATGTAGTTCATTATAACATTTTGTTGAAGTATTACAACGGTAAGTAACAAAACCTTTGTTGAGTAAAACAGAATCAAGTATGATTTGTAGAGAATTTACTTCACACACAAGCTGCTGGACACTCGTTTTTAACGTAGATTTTTCGTGATGAAGGAATGATCAATTTTTTTGTTTCAAGTTTCATTAGTTGGTTTGTTTACAACATTGTTTTCAGATGGGTTAAAACGTAGATGCTACCGCTTAGTTTGAGTCTCTATTCATAACTTTGAGAGTTGAGACTAAGAGCTCTGAAAAAGGGCTGTTATTGTGTTAGAACACCATGTGGCATGCCGAGCTTAAAATAAATCACTTCGAAAAGTAATCATAACGTATCACGGTTAGGTTTGGCCAGTGTGGAACAAGGAAACTAACAGAGTTCCGACATCAAATTACCCTAAACACCGTAAAGAAGTAACAAATTCAAAGAAAACAGCATTACAGAGATAACCATCCAGGGTAAGTTTTCAATGCCATGAAATCAGCAGCTCCCTAATCAAATTTGTAATACGAATTCATATGCTAAGCTAAACCAGCTTGAGTTATTCAAAAGTCGTACTTTGTTCTCCCACTCTTTAATATCAGGCACAACATATCTGGAATGTTGGAAACGGAACTGTAGAAGTTCCAAGACTCGAGCATCAGGCGTTTCCTTGATCCTTTGAAATGAACAACCTATATCCAGAATATATCACATAATCCACAATTCAGCACCATATTTGTTTCAATTTAGCAGCGAAAACAAAACAAAAAAACTCATATAAAATCAACAACCTTGTTAACAGGTTTTGTGTTTTCCACATCAGCAATATACCTTTACATCCAAGGGCATGCCATGAAATTGGCCAGCGCCTTCTGGTGGTGTCCAGTTGTACACAGCACAGGGTAAAAACAACACGGAAGCACCGCGAATATCATCTACGAAAGCTTTGGCTTTTGTAAATTTCTTTGCATCGAAAGATGGGTGCGACGTCACTACCCAGGCAAGAGCTAATTGATCCCCAAGCATTCTAGAAGCCCTCATGTACCTTGTTTGATAAACTTTTAGTACTTTTTGTAGAAAAATCTTTGCCCTGCATCATTGCAGTATGTGAAATGTAAAAATGGGTAACATTACATCTCTGTTTTCTGGTCAACAATAACCACAAAACAGATCATAACTATTAGGATTAAATAACATACTTAACTTTGAGTAAACAGATAAAGTGATAACGCACCTTAAAATTCCCTCAGCGGTGCCCCTCACTGCTATAAATCCTGAATTCAGAGGTTGTGCTTTGTTATTGCGAAACGTAAGTGCCAGATGAAAATTCGGATATTCACTAAATATGTGTCCTAGATCATCAACAACAGTGATATCTGAGTCGGTGAAGATGTAATGAGTATGCTTCTGATTCTGAGGAAGCTCCTCCATCCTAGATTCTAGGAAGGCCTGAATGACAGAAATTCAATGCAACATTAGATTAGAACATTGCTAGTAAGTATTTCTCTATTGGTTTCCAATGATACTAAATACACTTATATTTGGGAACAATTAATTATACTTTAGGAGCACCGCTAACTTAAAAAGGAGAAGTCTTAAGCTAACATTTTGTTTTCCATACGTGCAGGAAATTGGGAAACACTATATATGTGTATTTTGAATAAGCGGAAATCAGTCAAAAGGGAAACCTATAGCAATTTCAGGGATTGATGAGTACAAACATAAAAAAAAAAAAAAAAAATGAAATAAACTAGGTGATACTGGTGAGAAGCATAGCTACTGATAAACAAAGGATATTTCTATTTGTTATCATTAATACAATGTGCTCTTACAATGTAAGACCTGATTCTCTGAAGCATCAACTTGTCTCGTGAATATTCACCTTGAATTGGATATACAGTGACCTTGTTTCTGCGTATTGAAAGATCAGCTGCCGGGTCTGTTAGAATGACTACACCGCTCCGGGGCATAGCCAGCTGCAATGTATCAATCATATGATAGAGTAAATCATTATGTCTCGAACGAAAGTGAGGAAGTTGAACACAATTCTACTGTACAATATATCAGAAGATTACCTGAATGAAGTTAATAAAGACATTCAAGACGGCCATGGATCTCTCGAATTTAGTATAAGAAGCATTCCCAACTGTAACCGAGTTTGAGAATTGATCTTCGACGTGCCTATTGGAGGTGGAAGAATTGTATATGGTGAAGACAGTGACAACAGCAATGCTATCAACCGCAGCGGAGGCACGGGAAGAATGGGTGGTGTGGTTGAGAGCTTTGATGCCATTGCCAGATCCTGCCCATATAAAAAAGTAAAACATGAACATAGATGAAACAAACAAATAATAAAGTGGTGGATTGCCGCGCTTGTTGGTCTTCCTCTTCAACCCACTGTGTATCGCCTCAAACACTTCCCCTCCCCCCGTCCCCGTCATATAAAATATCGGTCATATAAAAAAATAAAAAAATACTACCACCAAAACCCAAATTTGATTGAATTTGAATTGGTTGAAATTTGATTGGTACCATGACATTGGAGGCGATTGCTCAAGCCTTGGCCAGCAGCAGGGCCAAGAACCAAGTGGTTGGATTTGGATTTGTTGCTTTCTTTCTTCCTGGGCAAATCTTCCACAGCTGAGTTATGATGCAATTCCTTAACTAAGAGATGAACCAACCCAGATGTAAATTACGAATTTGTAATACAAAAGAAAATTATTTTTTTAATAAAAAGAATAAAATGAGGGAGTGACTCACTCACCGGAGAAGAAGTGAGGAAGAATGAAAATAAGAGGTAGAAAGATGCAGAAACGGCGCCACCCGCTGCACACTCTCATCGCCTTACCAATTTCTTCACTCCGCACACATACTGCATCAGATCAGAAAGAGATCTGCCCGTTTTCTCTCTCTTCAGCTTTTAAAAGACTTATAAATCATTAGAAATTAGAAATTTTAGGAGACAAGCACCAATAATCGAATATATATCCGGATTTCACCTGTAGAATGAGAAGAGATTTTTCAGTGTGATCGTCACACGAGGTGGTACATCACGTATTTTTATATAAATTGTGGGATATGTGTGTTAAAAAGTTAATAACTTAAAAATTAAAATTTTCCACCACTTGCATAAAAACACGTAGTGTACCATCCGTATTTCTGTCATAACTAAACATTTCTCGTAGAATGAGAACCTCCTCAAAATGAATTTTAAATATTTTTAATTTTCTCCAATATCCTAACACAACTATTTCACCAAACAATATTGCTTGGAACAAAGTCGAATAGTTAGAGATCATATATTACACTTTCTTCCTATTCTTCCTTGTTTCATAATCACGGATATATCAAAAAGTCACACAATCTTTTTAGCAAAAAATGTCACATAAGTTCTTAGACTCATAATGTTATAGGATACATACTATTCTTTTTCTTCTTTGTCATAAAATGGCAAAAACACTCGCATTTATCAAACCAACACTTACATGAACAACAAAATGCCAACAAAAATTGACTTGAAAAAACCCCGCTATCATATGTTTTATTATTTGCTAATGTAATGTGCTCAAAATAAATGGTTAGATTGGCCCAACTACTACATTTTTCATGTATAAATTGATAATGTTTGTGGCTATGTCACTCTTCTTGTATATACCAGATAAGTAAACAAATCAACAAAAACCCAGAAAAGCAGCTCACAAATGTAATTATATGAATGCAAGAGGACTCAGCATCTTACTAGATAATATTAGACTTGTGTCTATGATCATGACGAACTCTTTAGGAAACAAAAAAATCACTCTTTTTTCTTTATATACAACTCAGGCCAGGAAACACAAACACAAACCTAAATCCAACTGAATCAGATGTAAAACAAATTCAAATATAATTTTCTAAATTCAGATTAAAAAGAATTTATTTGTTTGGAGCATATGAAATTGCATTCCCCAGGCAAAATTTCTAATCCTCAAATTGGATTAGACAAAATCATGAAATTTTTTTCTAAAGCCCAATTATATAAAGGGAACTTTAACGAAAAGTTCTCTGTATTGATCACTTTAACAAAAAAAATCATATTTTTACACTAAAAAATCAATCCTGGTACTATTCACTTTACTCTTTATTTTGTCCTTATCGTTAAAACTCAAAATTTTCAAGCTCTTTTCATTAGTTTTCCTTTATATTAAATCACAAATTTGAAGCAAATTTTGACATGCAATAGGTCAATAAGGTAGGAATCGTTTCAGACAAACCTTGATGGCGGGCATTGGAGGAATCGTCCAATTACTGTCAGAAAACTTGAATTCGAACAAAGCTCCGAGGTTATAGGGAGATGTTGTTGATGTGAAATTCAACATGCAAAGAAAGGAGAGAAATTTCAATTTGAAATATCTGGAGCAAAGTCGTTGCTTGGTGAGGAGAAATCACACAAGATTTTTAATTGGAAAGAAATCAGGAGGAAAGAGATGAGTGCGGGGTATTTTTGTCAGTGTAAAAATGTAATAATGCAAACTTAGCAGGGGTAAAACAGGAAGCACACTTGCTTATGAACAGTGTTTTAGAGTGGTGTTTTGGGTTTTAGTATAGACCAGCAAGTGTACCCGCGCTTTGCTGCTAGGTTTGAAACACTGTTGAAAATGTAAAAGGTCTCGAAAAATATATATGCTATATTTTTTTAACAAACGCTATTATCTATACTAAGGGGGAGAGTGTAGGCTTAGCCTCACAATGGGCTAGCATTATGTGGTTCAAATTCACCTTTGGCGAGAATCAAACCTAAGACCTTTCACTTACAAATGAAGAGGAATAACAGTAAACTGTAGTACTAAGTGGCAAAAGAGATGTTGGTATGCATATTATACTACAAAAATTGGGGATGTTGGTATGCCATCCTAAAGGATTGTTTTTCAAAAACTATGGCTCTATCTCATGAAGTGTTTTATGTTTACAACTATACAATGTAGAAAAAAAATTTGATCACTCGTGAATTGAATCACCCTAAATTTCATTATGAATTGAATTGAATGAAAATCTAGAGATGAAGGGCAAGTTTTCATAATTTCACTATGCAAGATTTCACTATGCCAGATTTCATTTGCAGGCACCAAAACATGCGCAAAATTAAAGTTAAGGTTTTCGTACTTTATTGGGTAATTGAAAGTCGTGAAAGCTCGGAAATAATCAAACCAACATCCAATTTAGTGTACACCTAAGAAAAACTTAAGTAAGAAAATATATCCAACTTCTTAATCATTAATCAAACACAATAATACAATCATTGAAAAACTCTCAATCATTTATCAAAATTGAATTAAAAAAATTGGATGTTGGGGTCAAACTTTTGTGTTCGCCTAAGGATATTTGAGGCTAAAAATTTAATTTTACTCAATTTAGCTTTTAAGTTATTTTATTTTCAGTCTTCAAATTTGGAGTAAATATTTAACATTCTACAATGTAGTTTCAATTTCAATTTTCACGCAATTTGTGATCTTCAAAACTTCATGCCAATAGAAATTGTACATGCATGTATTCCTCATATCATGAACATCAGTCTATATCAATATATAACTTTAGCATATACTTAGTGGGAACCAATTATTCTTGATGCTCTTGACAATGACAAATATATATATATATATATATATATATATCGATGTCGTATATGTACTTACATCTTCATTGTGCATGCCAACTTTTAGGGTTTCATTTTGGGATTGTGATGTTTCAAGATGAAAATTTTGGTACCCTTTAGTGAAAGTTTGTATACTGGAATTATCTTCTTTAACCCTTTGTTTGCAATTTGAATTACATGACTCAAAGTCTGCTGTATTTCTTCAATTTTTAGCTTCGAGTTTAGAGAAAAATTGGGGATACTATTAATAATCTATTGTGTCCATTTATGTAATTTAATTATTTAATAATGTTCTAGCAAAATACAACCCCAAAAGAACACAAATGGACCATAGAAAAAAAAATGCGAAATATTTACCAATCACTATTCATAGTTTTGGTCAAAGAACTCAAATTTCAGATATAAAAAACAGAGAAGCTTGTATGCATAATTTATAATGATTAACTCCTTTTTGTTGAAAAACTGAAGTGTGACGCTAATTCTTCTTCTGCTTCCACCTCCTTATGGAACTTGACCCGCCAGTAACATTTGTACTTTAACCTACAATCAGTAACCAGTTAGTATCTTTGGCAAGCTCATTGGGGTATGGCAACACTATGTATGGGAAGATTATTGCAACCCTAACCAACAAAGAAAAAGAAGGAAGCATTCAGTTGAGGATGTCGATAAGGGAAGAAGAAGAAGAAAAGAAGAGCCAGTTGAGGAGCAGAAGAATTTTGGTGCTGTGTTCAGTTTGGAGGTATGGTTTTAAGAATTTACAAACTACCTGTATGATTCTCTCACTTCAGTGTTTACAAACTGCTCTAGTTTATTCTAATTTGGTTTTAAATTAATGATTTTACTCGAGGTAATTCAGCACGTTGCAAACCCTACTGAATTCTATAAATCTCTATCACCCTTAACTGTCACGGTGAAGCTACTGTTACTTCAACTATTAACTGTTCTATGAGAGTGTATGCTACGACCATCATTGCAGCAGTTTATAATCTAATCAAATTAGCGAGAAAAACACATGTTCTCATTCATGTAGAAACTCAGTGGAGAGAATACTACATTTGCAACACGATGAAAAGAGGCAAACACATGACAAATATACTTAAAATATAGAAGCATCCAGGAAATAAAATGACATAAAAAATAAAAATAAAAAATAAAAAAAACCCACCAATTTAATGAAGAATTCTACAAAACTCAGAACTTTAAACGTAATTCTACGAAATCATGAAAAATTTACTAAAATCCGAATAATACGTAACAAAATTGAAGCATATCTTGACATGCAAAAGGTCAAAAGGTACTTGAAGTGATGAGCAATGGTTTGACATACTTTTTTTTCTTCACCTCTTTGTAAGTTGCTCTTTGTATAAACTACAGCAATTAAAAAAAAACCCATTACGTTAAATTAATCTGAATATTTAATCACAGGTGCACCAGAAAATTATAAAACTCAAAATTAAAAAACCCCAAGATGAAGTTAAGAAAAACCCATATCAGATTCTAAGTGGGTTTATGAAAAATAGTATTAATCAGACATTAACACTGTAAATAAATAAAATAAATAAAAAAAATTTGAAATCTTCCTACCTTTAAGTTTCAAGGTTTTTACTTTAGAATCCAAGGAAACCTCAGATCAGATTCTAAGTGGGTTTATCAAAAATAATAATCTGCTAAAAAATTAACACTGAAAGTAAATAAAAAACCGAAAAAAAAATTGAATTTTCTTACCCTTAGTTTCTGGGTTTACACCGGGAAATCCAATTGAGAACGGATGAGACTGGATGATGGTTTTTGGTGTATTTGGGTTCGTGCATGGGGTGGGGGTTTCTTATCACAATGCCCCAAATAAATGGACGGTCCAGATCCAATTAGATTTGCATTGGAGTAATTGAAATTACACAATTAAGACAGGGGCATTTTCGAAAGTACATTGTTCTTATGAACAGTAACACAGTGTATTTTCAGCTAAGTATAGATTGAATTAAATGTCTGATTTTTAGAGCCTAAAAAAGTTAAAAACACTATCAATTTTCTTTTAAATTTATTAAAATTCTTTATCTTTAGCGATGTTTTCAAATACAAGCTTAATAGATTTGGATTTAACTAATAGTGTTTTTTTTTTTTTTTTTTTACTTTAAGAGATCATGCCTAAACCCCTAGAACTTCTACTCTAATGAAAATGTCAAATTATTAGAATCAAATTGCAATTGATTACTGTGTGGCAATCTGAAGCCTTATGTAAAATTTTATGACACACCCCAACTGAGGCCAGGGCGTGCTGGCCGTCACGTGGAAGTGACGCAGCCATGTGCACAGTGCGGAAGCTAATAAAGTAGTAACGTAAAGGTATGAATAAATAAAACTAGCATACATAAGGTAGAAGTAATAAGTGCTAGCAAGTGAGACACAAGTTCAGAGCAGAAAGCCTAAAGCAGTCCAAACTAAAATGACGCTACAACAGTACACCCGAAGGTGGCCCTACGCTGGTGATCGTCTGTCAGAAATGCTGGGAAAGCCCTCTGGGAAACCATCGAACCTGCTAGGTAGCTAGAACCTGGAGGGGCGCAAAACAAAAGCGTGAGTGGGCAAAAACAAAGCTTTTCGAAAACCATTTCAAAAACAAGATTCTAACCCCTCGCCGTAAAACCTGTATACTTCCCAGAAAATAAACATATGTACGTATATATAGATATGCTAATCATGCTCAAGAATACGCCATGTCGGAACCTCAAAATGAAATGCATGTGCTCAGGTATAAATCACATCAATAACATATAATCTGGCAGCTGGAGTCATCTAACGTGACCTGTACGGCTGCTTCTAGAGCTCAGATCTCAATCACTATAACTGAACCTGCCCACGAGTCGGAACCACCTAAAGTGCTCTGTACGAGAGGCCTGGTGTAATACATATAAACGCTCTAGTGCTACGATCACGTGAAGGCTGGGCGAATAATCGCGGGTCACCTACGAGTCGGAACCACCTAAAGTGGTCTGTACGACAAGAGTGTGCACCTAACTTGGATCCAAGCTGAGCGTGTGGTGTGGGAGGTGAACAACACGTGAAGGACTGTGCCCTACTCTGGGCGGGAGCACTAACACCGGGGGTGCAGGTTATGAGCTCTCTAAGTATCTCGAATCACCATTTAAAAGTAAACATGAATAACGCTTACCTGGCACTTACCTGTGCGTCCACAGCACTAAATATGCATGTGTATATAAATATATACGCCCAATAATGCAACCAATAATGCATAAATGACGATAATATAATGCATGGCATATAACTAATAAACATTTAATTCAATTTCTGGGAAAATATAAGTATATAGGTATATACGGAAAACCAAAAGCCTACTCACTGATAGGTGGAAGGGTCGTAGCCCCCCTGCCTCGAGTGACCACGCTCCTCCTCGGGATATGTCTCACCCATATGCGAAACAACTATAAAAACGTTAATTTTAAAACACATAACCAAACTTTCGAAATAACTTCTCATACATTGCTCAAATGGGGTGTATGAATACACCAACGTGATCTACTCAACCTCACGAACATCCACAAATTTTTAGAAAAATTTTTCACCGCCGCACGCGCCCCCACGCCCCGGCCAAGGCACGGCCACACGTGCCTGGCACGCTGACGGCGTCAACTGACGCCGTTAGGAATATTCTGTCAGTTTTGACAGATTCCGTCAACGGCATCAGGAATATTCCGTCAGACTTGACGGAATATTCCGTCTTCTTCCCCGGCGAGACTCCGGCGACGTCGCCGGCGCCGAAAAATCGTGAAAACTTTAAACTTCGATATCTCCATCGTTTCTCAACCAAATTCCACGATTTAGGTACCAAATTGAAGCTAGAACTAGAAGAACACAACCGAACAACTTTTAAGGGCTAAAAACCACGAAATCTCACCTGCAAAATCGAACCAACTCTGGCCAACTTCAAAACCAACGATCCCGACGTCCAATTCCTTCAAACGAACTACTCCGAGCCTCCTTGGGACCTCACCAAGCTATCTACAAGCTTCATTTTTCCTAAAACGTGAGAAATCGCGTGTGCATGAATAGTACTCCAAATCGGACATTGTGAAATCGACGTGAAAACGTTGGAGTTCTTACCTGGAAATGGTATGGTTGGACTCGTACGAGTCTCACGAGCTCGAATATGTACTCAGTTCCTTCGATCTGTGGAGGTTTAGTGTGCTTGTGTGTGTGTCCGTACGTTTTCGAAGAAAAAGGGAAGGAAAAGGACTTGGGACAGAGACAGGGAAAGGGACAGAAGGGCTGTGGTGTGTGGGGAGTGTGTGTGTGGCCCAAAACATGCCAACACCACACAAAAACAACCAACAAACGTAAAGAAAACAAAGTAGGGGCAAAACTGTCTTTTCACGCGTACGTTTTTGATATTTTCGGGACGGGCTGTTACAACCTACCCACCTTACAAGAATTTCGTCCCGAAATTCAAAACAACCACATAACAACCCCTAGTGACCAAAGAACAACCTAGGGTACAGATCCCTCATCCTATCTTCTGTCTCCCACGTAGCTTCTTCGACGGATTGATTCCTCCACAAAACTTTCACTAAGTTCACCGTCTTGTTCCTTAGAACCTTTTCCTTCCAATCTAGTATCGTCATTGGTTCCTCATCATAAGTCAAATCTGGATTAATCTCCAAGGGTTGTGGAGGTATCACATGAGATGGATCAGCAACGTAATGTCGAAGCATGGACACGTGAAAAACGTTATGCACTCTAGGCAACTCCGGAGGCAACTCCAACCTGTAAGCTACCTCACCAACTCGCTCTGTGACCATGTATGGTCCGATGTACCTGGGACTCAACTTGCCTTTCTTCCCAAATCTCACAACACCTCTCCACAGTGAAAGCTTCAGAAATACCCAATCTCCAACCTCGTATGCTCTGTCCGTAGCATGCCGATCTGTTGGAAGTATGCCCACAAAGCCACTCATTTAATGTAATAGCTTTTTGGAATACTTAATGTATTAAACTTTTATATGTTTAATGGAGGGCAAAGCTTATTGTTAATCACTATTTATTGTATCTTGTGTTTAAGCAATAAGGGAATCCAAGGAATGTACTTGATCTAAGAGATAAGTGATCTAAGTAAGTTAGATTTTCGAGACCTTTCTCTTATGTTCATTCCTAAAACGTTCCTAGCCATAGGGTTGCCAATTGGGCATTGACAATCCGCTAAGGTTAGTATGTGTTATGTCGACTCAAGTATGGATATGACAAGTCTCAAGTCATTTAGTGTTGGACACTAAGACAAACACATAGGTGCTCGAAAGAGTAATCAAGTACACTGAACAACGATCAAACGAGAGTTCGAACATACATGTCATGTGAGAACTCGATAGTTGCAATATGCAAAGTAGTCCTTTGACCTGAGGCATCATTGATGTCTAATGGTTAGGTCCTTGATCTTTGATTATGTCAACGACATTCCATTGGAGTGTCCACGGCATTGTTGGGGTCAAGCTATCTAGTCATGTAGGCATATGAATGCACAACAAGGGATCTCTAACCTTCCATGGTGGAAGGAGAATACTCTAAGATATGATTCGAGAGTCTTTGGCCAAAGCATATGAATATGACTAAGGAAGCTTGTTCCAAATCTTATTCAATTGAATCATATAGAGAAGTATCACATTGGATAGTAGACATGAAACAAACTATCACTTAAACAATGTGATTAAGAGTATTGTATTAGAGAAGGACCGTATTGCATTGTAGTTGTAACTGGATAGGTTCTCCAACCACTTCTACTTAGCTTAGGTAACCATGACATGCTGCTAGGCGTTACCCATGGTTTGTGGAAGCCCTAAAGATTAGCAAACACTAATTTTAAGGGAGAATTGAAATGTGGTTTCAATTCACAATCGATCGTTAAGAGTAACATCGCCCACTACCTCGCTAATTGGAACCTAATGGATCGTACACCGAGTAAGGATATAAGTGAAGAAATTATATGAAATGGATAAGCAATTAAATAGTTTAATTGAAGAATGGTCAAGATTAATTAAATAGTTAATTAATTATACGAAACATTCGTATTGGGCGTTTAAGTTAGTTTTGGGCTTCGGGGCACAAAAAACGTTTTGGTCCACAAGGCCCATTATGTTTAAGTTGTATGACAACTAAAACAAAATGGGCAATTAAGCCCAATAACAACATATGGCCGGCCATAAGGGTGAGGGGTAGCAAACTTGTATTAATTACAAGTTTGCCACTCACATGAAATGAAGTATAAAATCAACATTATAGCTTTGTTTCAAATTAGGGTTTTCTAATAGAATTTGGGTGAAACATTTTCTCTCATTTTTCTACATAGAGGCCGGCCACTTAGGGGAGGAACATCTAGCAATCTTTTCTTCCCTAAGTCATCCATTTCATCTTCACAATTAATCTTTGGTGTAGAGACTTGGAGACATCAAGCTTTTGGTGTTTTGGAGAACATATCCTCAAATCCTCAAGGAAGCAAAGGAGGTGACTTGAAGGCCCTCCACTTGGGTGAATCCCTTGTGTAATCAAGGATGAGCTACAAGGGTAATGATTCTCTAAATCCTTTCTTCTCTTTAATGTTGTTAAAGAGTTATGGTTCACCATATACTAGGCTTTGAAAGTCATGGGTTTTATGAATTGTTTTTGAATGCATGCCTACTTTAAAGTGTTATTAGTTTGCATATGTATTCAAATGTTCTTACATGTTCTTAGCTAGGACAAAATTTTTCCTTCAATGATCTCATGAATGGAATGCTACTACTTAGATGCGAGAACCAGTGACACCATATGCTCGTACCAATTTTAAACTCCACAAATTGAAACACATAACACTCAAGATTAAAGTCAAGGGTTGTAACGGGGCTAGGGGTATTGGCTAACAAAGAAAGGTAAAGGATAAAACAAACGTTCTTTAAACAATAGTAAGCAAAGCAATGAACTTGATACTTAGAATTCACTTTAGAGTGCAGAAAATAACTTTAAACACAAAGGGGAATACACATGCATACTTAGGGTCAAATGCAACGTTTTGGACCCTTTCTTCACTAACCAACAACTTAGAGCTCATTTTATGCTCTTCCAACTCCTTTTCAAACTTTTCACAACTTTTTCTTTTTTTTTCTTTCTATTTTTTTTTTGCACGAATATTTTTTTTTTTTTTTTTTTTTTTTTTTTGTTCTTTTCTCCTAACCCGTGCCTCAATATGAGTTTGGGCACATACCCATATCAAGAATCCTTCCCCCACACTTAGCTTTCTGCAATACCATGATCCAAAGGAATTCATCATGAGTCATG